CGCGCGCGCCCCCCCCCCAGCCGCTCCCCTTTTCCTTGCCGAAGCCCCCTCCCCTCATGCAGCTGACGCCGGGGGACGCTGTTCGCCCCGTCGCCTCCGCCACGGACCAATCGCCGAAGAGTTCCCGGTTGGGAGGCCGCCCGGATTGGCCGACTGGGAAGCCTGTCAGCCTCCTGGCCCCGCTGCTCCCGCCCCGTGGCGAACCCGAACCTCTGATGCCCTTCGGTCCCTCGTCGCGGCAGCCGCTTAGAGGGAGGCTGCTTGGCAGGTGTGGCGGGGGCAGCCTCTTGAACCCCTCGATGAGGCCGGGCGCAGTGGATAGAGCGTCCCTCATGGTAAGCGGAGGGTCACATGCTGTAATGGGGAAGGGGGCGGGGACCTTCCTGGCGGCGACAGGAGGTGTGACGAGATCTCCCGGCTGTATCCCAGAGAGGGCACCTACCCGTGGACATGCAATACAGGGGGGACAACTCCGCTCCCGTTCCTAGGGGCTGGCGCTAGTGCCTGAAGTGTCTTTAGAGCAACAGGAACCTGACGGCATCCTCCAAGCCTTCCCTTTTGCCTTTCTCAGAAACTCCTGGGAGGAAGTTTCAGGGGCAGCTACAGTAGGACTAGTGAAGTCTCCACCTTAGGGTGCTAATGCATCTTTCTGACTCCGATTGGACTTAGAGGGGGGTCCTCCATCTTTGTATGGGGTTGGCTTCTCCCACTGAGCTCGTCTCTGATTATCCCTTGCTTTTATTTCACTTGAACTTCAAAATATTACAACAAATGGTCTGGTAGCACTTTAGGGACTAACAAAACATGTAGATGGTATGAGCTTTCATTGGGCACAGCCCACTTCTTCAGATGATCGGAAAAATGCCCACAAAAGCTCATGATACCATCTACATATTTCTTTAGTTTATAAAGTGCTACCAGACCATTTTTTTTCTGTAACAGACTAACTTGATTACCCCCTGAAGCTTCAAAATATTAGTGACTCAACACTACGATGTTGACCATTCTGCATATCTGCAAGCTGAAATCCAAGTTTATAATTAATGTGATTTTCATTTTGCTATACCACTTGATGATACATTGATAGCTAAGTTAATGATGGTGTATTGAAATAGTAGATGAGGCAGGATAGTCATAAGTGGTGTTATGTTTAACTTAGCTAAATATTTTTTCATTGTTTTAAAACCTTTCATATTTCCATAAATCATAATTTTCCACATTCAAGAGGATCTGCAAGGGCCCATTGAAATAAAAGGACAAAAATAATTGAGAAGCTCTCTGATTACTCTTTCAGTTTAACCTGTGTCTTAGATATTACTGAAGGAAGGAATCACAATGTAGATATGTATATGTTTCTTTTATATAACTAAAAAGAGGTTTAAAAGTTACGTCCACTGACAAAAATACTGAAAGCTACTATTAAAATGATCAGATGTTACTTCAGCTTTAAAGCTAAAATAATTGAGATGATCAGTGCAAGATTAATCCTTTAAAAAGTACTTCTGTGATAATTTGGAGAAAATTTGATGGCTGATTATATTCTGGTTTGCAGAGATTTGTCATTTCTGTGTCTTTTCTACTTATTTTTTAAGATTTTGTATTTCCGTTGTTTACTTCTTGTTACTTTGATATATTTTGATGTACATGCTAATAATTTGATGGATAAATCATTCTTGATAAAGTGCCCTGTATAAAGTCAGTTTCCATACTGTTTCAAATTCCTGTAGATTACAATTTTTTCCTGATCCTAGTGTCTCAGTGCCTGTGGTATTGCATTGCCAACTATAGATGCAGCAATAAGGTTAACTTTTTCACTCATTTTTAGTATAGTAAATTTCCGATAATCCGGCACCTTTAGGACCCAGGGGGTGCCGGATTATCAGATATGCCGGACTGTCGGAAGGGAGGGCTGTGGGGGATCTGGGGTGGAGTGGGGGGGGATGCGCCTCTCGGTGCTGCGGGACCAACCTGGCAGCACCCCAGCTGCTCTGCCCCAGACTTCCTCAAGTCAGCTGCTGCTGAAACCGACCAGCAGCTGACTCGGGGAAGCCTGGGGCAGAGCAGCAGAGGTGCTCTGCCCCGGGCTTCCCAGAGTCAGCCACTGGTCAGTTTCAGCAGCAGCTGACTCGGGGAAGTCTGGGGCAGAGCAGCTGGGGTGCAGAGCAGCTGGGGTGCTGCCGGGTTGGTCCCGCAGCGCCGAGGGGCAGAGCAGCTCCAATTGTCTGGCTGCCTGGAGCACTTCCGGGTTTCAGATGGTGCCGGATCATCAGGAGTGCTGGACCATTGGATGCCGGGCCACTGGAGTTTTACTGTAGAACTAATCTTCCTTCAGAACTATTGTTTGTTCTAAAAAAACCTAAAATATTTGGTCCATAAAGTTTAATATATGATGCAGATGTTTGTAGAAAAAAACAGGGAGAAAATGTATTGGTGCTAATATATAACTGGCACCTTCATATTGCAGTTAACTTTAAACGTGTGAAGGAGAAGATATTTTGGTTATCAGATCTGTTTCCCTGCCTGTGTATGCTTCCAGTGAGCATAATCTATTGAAATGGCATGTGTGAATCTTAGCATCTATAGGTTTGTTAGGCTTTTGTTTTATATTTACACATTGAGAGGTTTTCCAGGTGGCTCCCTAGGCTCCTGTAAATGCAGGGAGCAAGCCAGCGTGTATTGGCTTCCTCCTTCCCCCCTCGCTCTCTGCACTGCTGCTTCTCTATCAGAGGCAGCAGTGTGGGAGGAGGGGCAGGCTGATCCACAGAAGCCTGCACCCTTGAAAGCCGGCTTTCCACGGGCACCTGCTCTGGCCTTCTCCCTGCCTCTGATACAGAGACAGTGAGCCATCTGTGTGCACGTGTAGTCATTAGGATTAACCAGGCTTATTAGTTAATCGTGTTAATGACTACATGCTAACATTCCTGTTGTTGAAAGTGGTTCATTCAAGGAGCTATGTCATGAAGATACAAGCATTGTGATATAGCTAGTTTTTTGTGTATTTTTCTTCATCTATCATAAGACAGATAAATGACTAAATTTCTTCAGTGGTAGCATGTTTATTATGCACTTATCCTATGTTTTTACATATGTACAGTTTTTACTTCGGGTACTTTGATAGTAACATCTTTGTTTATTAACGTTATCTTTCAGATGGGGCACCCAGGCATGCCACATTATCCACCCATGGGAATGCACCCAATGGGCCAGAGACCACCAAATATGCCACCAGTTCCACATGGGATGATGCCTCAGATGATGCCTCCAATGGGAGGACCACCAATGGGGCAGGTAAGGCAGCTTGGCTGCGGGTGGGAGGAGAGGGGTGTCCTAAAATGATCTCAGAGAATTCCAAAGACAGGTAAGTATCCCAGAGTTGTTTAGAAATAACAATGCTAAAAATAAGTCATTAAAAGTAATGTTTTTATAGCATCATCCGTCAGTAATGCAGAAACTACTTTAAATATGACAAAAATAACAAAATTCTCCTGTGGTTTCCAAATTAAAATGGTCTGGTACTTCAATCCATAAATTTTGTTACTTTTAATTTAGACTGTGTTCTATTAGTCCTTAAAGATAAATAAGGTGCGGCAATTTAAAAACCCCAAAATCTTGAAAATCAACAAAAAACTCCCTCTTTAATTCTAGCAAGAGACTATAATGTCATAATGTCGAAGCTGGAAATTTTTTGTCTTTTGGCTTTGTGCTAAAAGAGTCTTATAACCAGAGGGGATTGAGAAAAATTACAGGAGATAAAGGAAAAGAATGTAAAATTCTTTTGCGTTGTTTTATTCTTCTGTTATATACTGTTGTTTTTGCACTGTTGTCCGTGCTATGCAGGTCTTGAAAAATAAACTTGGTCCCATAGTGGCAGATATAAAATGTTGGCAAATAAAGGGGCCTAAACCATACATTTGTGTATATTGTAAGCTTTCTGTTTTTAACAATGAAAGGCCCTGGCCATTGCTTAGTAAGTTCTCAATTTGAAATGGAGCAGTTGCCTTCCTGAATGCGCAGAAATTTCTAGTGATTCTGGTTTTCCTAAACAAAAGCAGAATCAAATTGACATGGTGGGGAAGAGGGGTAGGAAAGGAGGGAAGGACACACTTTCTGCAAATTTTGTGAGGAGTCAAATGCAAATGTGAATGCTGCTTTGGCTGCAGGAGCATGGGGGGCTAGTAGTATTTTGTTTGCAAAAGTGTCAATAAACAGCATTCAAATTCACCAACTTTTAGTGACATAGCCCTGTTGCTAAAAGCTGCATAGTGTAGACTTAGTCAGAGTTACAAGACCTCTAGTACTTAGAAGTCAGTCAGCAAAGGGTCCAGGGACCCTGTGGCATTGTGGTTGGAATTTAATTACCCTCTCTCCCAGAGTATTGAGGCAACTCCTAAATCTTAATGCCTGAGTGTAGCTCACCTTTCATATTAGAAGATGTAGGCCTGTGTAGTACATCACACTGTACTACACAGTATGGCAGTCTGTTGACATACACAGAGGGAGGGGGGAGAAAAAATACGGTACCTGCTTCAAAGAGCAGTGCAGCTTAAAAAGACAAAGGCAGATGGAAGCGGTGGGTAATACAATGTGCAAGTAAAGTGTTTAGGTTGATCTTAGGCATGTGTTTTGCCAATTATTAGCATTTGTGTTTTTTTAGTAATAAGCACACTAGTCAGTCCCATTGTTGTCTCTTACCCAACAGTTTTCAGCCAGAATCCCATTGTCCTTGTGTCCCATTCATCTACCATCTTATCCTTTTTGTCCATGTAATGAAGAGTTGCCACATAGTATAATGAAAAAAGTAAGTAGATAACTTAGTCAGCAATCTTGGGGCAGCCATTGTGGAACAAAAGGCTCTTGATGGGAACGGGAAATAAATGAGGGCATGTTAGAGCTTTAATAACTATATGGCCAATAAGAATGGGCCAGTAGACTGATATTTGCAGTCTAGTATATTGAGAGTCAGAATATCAGCCTATTGGCCCATCTTCCTGGGTGCTAGGACAATTCCTTTGATAAATGCCAGCTTCTGCTTGTCTCTGAAGCGTTCTGGGAGGGGATAGTCTGAAGGTTTGTAACCTCACTTCTCAGGTGCTTTGGTGGGACAATGCCATGCTGCTTTTTTGTGTCTTTGAGTGATACTCTAGGATTCCTTCTCTATTTAATTCACAAGAAAATCTCCTGGGGCTGAAAATAATTGGGTCTCTTTTCCCAGCTTCAATTCTCAAAGGCTTTGAGTCTGAGAAATAACTGCAGTATTGTCCCAGAAAATTACTAAGTTACACAGAGCGGCTTCAGAGTAGTAAGGAATGCTAAAGATTTCTGTAGGTACTTTTGCAAGGGCTTCTAGGAAACTTCACATACTTGGATCCCACTTAGTTGGAAGTAGCAGTGGGGCAAGAGTGCTTTCTTCTCCTGCTTCTACAGGATGACGAGGAATAGGAGGGCCGCCTTCCAACTTTTCCTTTCTACCTCACCCTCCCAAGAAAACATTGTGGATTGAGGTGGAGCAGTAGCCCTACCAAATATCCCTCTCTCCACACAAGATGCAAGATGAGGGGAGTGGTAACCCGATGCTCCCTGAAGATACAGGGGGATGGGGTCACTTGGCCAGCCTGCCAAAGTCTATAAAGGTAATGGGGGATGACTGAAACTTAAAGGGGTTGACTTCCCAAGGCCTTTTTTTGGGGACTGAGTGATGAAAATTTCATCAGCTGAATATCATATTAGTATAGCACTACTATTTGTGCTTTTTGCCACATTTATTTATGGGTTATCAATTCTTAATAGTGAGAACCAGTGCAAAATATGAGGGAAATCTTGTAAGAGAATTTTTAAACAGCTTTATATAGTACATCAGCTGGTCACTAATAACCACTTTATCTCTATAAATTGGCTGTGGTTCCTGTCACTTCATAATAGTTTAAGAATATACTCCCAGACTAAAAATTAGTCATCAAAGTAAAAGATATGGGTCTTTGTTTCATCAGACAGCATACAGATTTGCCTCAACTTTAATAAAAGCCTAAGAGCCAGACCACATTACCATGTTCAAATTGTTTTAAGGCAGGGGCGGGCAATAATTTTCACAGGGGGGCCACTTAATGAATTTTGGTACAAGGAAGGGGCGTGGCCTGGGCAGAAGGGGTGGGGCTGAGGACTTGCATTCCTCCAGAGTTGTCTAGGGTCAGAGCTTTGAATTTAAAACATTGTAAAGGGCTTGCAGCTCACAGACTGCTGCTACCAAGTTGCCTGGCAGCCACCTGAGGTTGCTGCATCTATTTAAAGGGCTCATGGCTCCAACCCCTGCCAGGGTAGCACTGTGACTGGGAGCTGTGAGTCAGTTAAATAGGATCTTGCTGCCTGAGCCACTGCCTGGAAATTCAGTGGCACGGGCAGTAGGATATAAATAGAAAACAGCCAGATGCAGTTTGCAGGCCAGATCCAAGTATTAGGTGGGCCAGATTCAGCCCTTAGGCTGCATCTTGCCCTGCCCTGTTTTAAAGGAAGAAGCATGGTTTAGAAGTAGCTTACTTTTTTTTGCATTCATATTACATGTTTTCTAGATGTTTATAACCATTCAAGAAGTGGTTTTGAACTCTTCGTTCTTGCTATTTAACTGTTTAATAGCATTATTCATCTTGAAAAGCTCCTGGCAAACATTAATTCTTTCAGCACTATTGTGAGGCAAGTACATCAAGTATTACTCTTGCTTGGGGAAAAGGAAAGAAGGCATCAAAGTTAAAAAAAACTGTGGTGGATCACAAAGGGGATCAATCTTAGAGTCTGAAATACCATTTGTGATACTTAACTAATTTTGTTGTTCGATGGCCCACAGATTTTCTGAGATCTTTCCCTCTAGGTTTCCTGTTCTAGCCTAGGATTCCTGTTATGAAAGGCACAGTCTTATCAATAGGTCACTCATTTTGTCATTTATTATTGAGTCTCCTGTATTCCAAATAGTGCTGTCTACAATAATTGTCTTACCTTCCTTTTAATATTTCAGAGCCTAGTTGAAATGTATGCTAATTTCCCTTTAAAATAGGAAGTTTGTTGTAGTAAATTTGCTGAAAATCTAGCTATTTCCTAACTTAACATGATTGCTAATTTTATGTAGAATTCTACAAATGTTTGTTACATTTTCTTTGTGTCCTGGGGCATTATTAGACTTATTTATCAAACAATACGTAGAGACTGATATGTTATAAAAAAGTTCTTACTTTGGAGCTGTATTATTTCAAGTACACTCTGCAATAACATTTTAATTGTAGATGCCTGGAATGATGCAATCAGTGATGCCTGGAATGATGATGTCTCATATGTCCCAAGCGCCTATGCAGCCTACAGTACCGGTAATCTTTAAAACCTGTCTTTTCACTTTTTAAACTGCTTTACTCTATGTGAATACTATTGCTAACATTTCATAAAGTCTAGTTAAAGTTGTATACGATGATGATAAAAATATCCTCCTTTATGTATAAAATTCTGTGAGGAATAGGTGAGTATTCGAATAAAGTTTCAGGAGACCCACATAAAAGCAGGCATTTACCCCTTAATGGAAGAATGATCTGTATTTAGTCTAATTACTTAGTTTACATGAAAAATATTTTGTCCCTATCCAGATTTTAAAATTGCATGTAACCATTGATATTTTTTTGTAACACCAAGCACTTTCTCTTTGTACATCTGTTGTAACTTTTCTAAAAATAAGGTATTTAATACTCATCCAGATTTCCACACAACAAAAATAGTGAAACAATTTTAATTTATTAAATCTCTTGAAAAATACCAACAACAGAAATATCATTGATTTCTTTCATATTAAGTTGATTGACCATTCTAAGCTTTGGAGGAACTCCAGAGATTCTAAAGGAAAATTACAAAGCACAGTGGTTAAAAGAGATGTGGTATACTAACATTCAGTCCAATTTTAAATATGCGAAAATATGGCTTCAATAGATTTTTGGACCGCTGCGTAATACTTTCTACTCTAAAATAATCAGATATAATAAAATATCTGCAAAGTACAATTTACAGTTTGCATAGTGTTTAAGGATACGTTATTTCAGAATCTAAACACTAAGCAATATTTTAATTAAGATTACCATCATCTACTGTTAAAATGAAATAGTTCTGAGAATTTTTTCTTGTGATGTTGACAGCTGGGTCTTGCTTTCATGCTTTGCCATATTTGAAGCAGAGGGGAATTTTTTTCCTAGGTTGCATTAGCAGGCAGTTGGTGTTGTCCTTTCTCTGATGTATGGGGTCACTTGCTAGGATTATCTGCAATAGCAAGGGTTTAGATGAGCATTGGTTCATCCTGGTCTCTCAGGATGCATCTAGACAGCGCAGTTATTTCAAAATAATTGATGTTATTTTGAAATAACAATGCAAGCGTCCACACAGCAATTTCATTATTTCGAAAAGAAAAAAAAGAAATAACAGATATCTTATTCCGACTTGTGTAAACCTTGTTCAATGAGGAATAATGCCTATTCCGAAATAGCTATTTCAAAATAGCTGTAGTGTGAATGCTTCATTGCTGCTATTTCCAAATAGTTCCTCCCAGGGCCATTCAGACTAATTACTTCCCAGTGCCTGCTGGGTCTCTAAATCAAGTTAACACATCCACATTAGCGAAGCCTGCCTCAGACTAATTTTGAGGTAGCGTAGACGTGCTATTTTGAAATAAGCTATTTCAGAAAAAAATTCCGAAATAGCTATTTTGAAATAAGCATGCTGTCTAGACGTACTCTTATATTCTTTGCCTGTTTGGTCTTCAGGTATTAATATTTTATCATAATTCCTGTTGTTAGGTTTTTAGCTTTGGGGTGGATGGGTGGCGTTTAATTGTCTGTGATACACAGGTAGTCCTATTACATGATCTGATAGTCCTGCCTGGCTCTAAACTTTCCTATTATGATCTGCTTTTGCAGTTGTCATGCTTTATGTAAGCCTTATAACTCATTATTCCTAAACCAGTGATGGTCAGTAAATAGCCTATGGGTTAGATGCAGTTTGCCAGATACTCCTATTGGCTGAAAATGGTGATCAGTGGCCAACGGGAGCTGCGGGAGACTGTACCTGAGGCACATGGGGAAAATTAAGTATTTGGTGACCTGACGGGCTAACTCTGGCAAACCGCATCCGGCCCACGGGCTGCTTATTGCACACCCTGTCCTAAACACTAATTTAAAATACCCAGAACTAGCTGTCTGATGATTTATTTCCCTTTTCAATGTTGTTACGTGTTTGTACATGGGTTTATTGGTTGTCTGTCATTTTTATTACTTAATATTGCATACACATAAAAAAATAAAAATTAAATTGAATTGCCACCCCAGAGAAATTGTATAAACCCGAGTTGACTGCCCTTTACTTTTTTTCCCAGTATCACAAAATCTTGTATTAATATTTGCGATCAAAGCGTGACTATTTCTACCTAGATTTGTTTAGCATCTTAAAACTGAGTCGTCATGTGCAGATAATATACATGCAAAAGGGATCGTTTTGTGAACTTCAAATGTCCATAGTACGTTAGGGTATGTCTACACTACCCTCCTAGTTCGAACTAGCGGGGTAATGTATGCATACCGCACTTGCTAATGAAGCCCGGGATTTGAATTTCCCGGGCTTCATTAGCATAAGCGGGGAGCCG